CGTGAGGGGCAGGGGCCTCGAAAGGCACGTTTTCATTTTCTTCATAGCTTTGCTGGATTTTCCAAACACTCTGTAACCAACTTGTAGAGCTTTTATAATCAAGGCAGGGGGTGGGAGGGGGAATGAAAGTGCGATTGTGTGTGTTTGTAATGCTGGTTCTCTATTGAAATGGTCTCACCAGATGTGGTTAGTCAGGCCTTCTGAGCCACGGGCTGAACTTTTCTTAAAGGTCCAGATTTATCATCTGCTCCAACAGGCCAAATTTCAGTATCACCTGGCGTCCGCATCTCCTCGCTGGGGAAGGGAGGGGACTGAGAACCCTGAGGTCGGCAGTGTGTCAGCTCCCGTCCCCACCAAGGCCGAGGTGCCTGGGGAAATTGGAGTTGAACCCTGGCCCCACTGGGCGACGCTGGCATGGCATCGGTTTCTCCATGTGCAAAGTGGGAGCGTTGAGTTTCTCCATCCCCAAGGGCTCTTCCAGCAAGGCCATTCTAGAATTCAAGGTATAATTTAGTCCAGGGAGAATCTAAACCAGCAGGGGGCCCGTTTTCCACAGGTGACGTGGAAGACAAAGTGAGCCAGGCGTGAGAAAACAACCCCTGCTGGCCCTTGGCAGTCACCCTCGGTGCCCGGGAGGCAACAGGGAGTGCTGGGGCCTGTAGCAAATGCCCGGTCTCATCAACTTGGGATGAGTGTTGCCTTCACCTATGACCTACTGGTGTTTCAGTAAAACCTCCCAATTTCTTTCGAAGTTGGCCGAAGCTGATATCTGCAAGCCACATACAGTCCTCAGTAGGAATCAGGCTGTGGCCACCGGCCTCAACCACCGGGAACACTCCTATTCCTTTTCTCCAGGCCGGAGGTTTTAAAGCCAGCGTTCTGTCGCTCCGGCTGCCAGAAAGGCCTTGCCTACGTCCAACTAAAACTTCTCCTGCTTTCAATCCTTAGTTTTGTGTGGGTGGAGGTATGAGTGAGAATTGGCTCTTTATTAAAAAAAAAAAAAAATTCAGAAACTGGAAAAAACATTCCAGTTGCTGTGAACTGAGAAGCAAATGGGTATTCGAGTCCCGCTCTGTCGTGCATCATTTGTGTAACCTTGAGCAGGTCACTGTCCCTCTCTGAGCCTTAGTTCTGTGTTTGTTCCTTTCGCTCCTGGCCCCTGTGCCCCTTCCCGAGGGTTCACCGCGTCCCACCCAAACTACCTGCTAATAACAATTACAATCGCAGAGTTGCTTCTTACTGAGCAAGACTTCTACGTCAAGCCTTACGCTAAACGCTTTCCGTATATCATGTGACTTCATCTTCCCAACAAGTCTACTGAATGGATGTTTTTATCCTCATTTTACAGGTTAAGAAACTGAGCCCAAGGCACTACTGTCAGTAGGTGGTCAGTTGAGGTGTGCACCTGTGCATCCTGGGCTCCCCCTCGGCCGCCACAGTGGCCTTCGGGACCCTCCACAGCTCAGCCACCTCGAGTGGATCCCCATCGCCTGAGCAACTCAGCCTGGCCTTGGAGGCCCATCGGCCTACCCTTCCTTCTTCTTCTAACACACTCGACACTCCAGCCGGCACTGCCCTGTTACCCACACGCTGTGTCGCTGAGTTTCCCTTGCTACCCACATGTCCTCCCTGATTGTTTACTGACTATTGTTTATTATTGACTCTGCATTTCACTTCTTGTCAATTCGTTTTCAACTCAGACAAACGTATTTGTATTTATTATCATATGCGTTCTACTTCCATTATTTCCCAACACGCTATACAACAAGATGAAAAGCTGTACAATACAAAATGTTCTTCCGAGCGCCTGCTAAAGTCTCTTCTCCGAGGTGTTGTGCTGAGTGAAGTAAGTCAGACAGAGAAAGACAAATACCATATGATTTCACTTAACAGCAAGCAAAACGGTTCTTCGCCCAAGAGCAAAATAAACAAACAAACAAAATAGGAACAGACCCCTAGACACAGAGAACAAAAGGATGGCTGCCAGATGGGAAGGGGGCCTGGTGGAAAAGGTGAAGGGATTAAGCAGCGCAAATTGGCAGTTAGAAAACAGTCACCGGGATGTCAAGTGCAGCGTAGGGAATACAGTCGGTAACACTGTGACGACCACGCGTGGGGGCCAGGCTGGCACTGGAAATGCCGCGTGGGGCACTTTGTCCAGTACACGATGGTCTAACCACGACACTGTACACCCGAAACAAATACAACATAATCTTCAATGTAAACTATCATGGAAAAATAAAATTAAAGTAAATAGCATGCACAAAATAAGCAATAAAATCAAGTCTGCCTTCGGGGGACCCCTGGTGGACGCCCCACCTTGGGAAGCATTGGGTCGCCGCCCCCCGGAACAGGTGAGCTTCCCTCCCACACTTCAGAGCCCTGTGTCCACCTGCACCTCTTCTCTTCTCACGACACCTGTGGTTCCGGGGCCAAGGGAGGGATGCCCACTGCCCATCACACAGCCCAGAGTTGTCAGTGGGTGGCTGATCGCCCAGGGCCTACACATCTCTCCCCCAGGGCCTTATTCAGGGCCTGGCCCACAGCAGGCCCTCCAATGGCCTGCCGTGGAGCAGGTACAAACTTCGGCAGTGTTGAATGAACTGCTCTGGATTCAACCAGTTTTTCTCAAAAGTGTGGGGGAGGATCACGGAGAGCCCTCGATTTGAGGAGGACATGAACTCCGCATGAGACCACAGTAGAGAAGTTTTTCCCATTCTTTTCTGGTCCTCTCGATGACACTAAAGAGAAGGCCTCAGTTCACTGACAGTGCATCTCAAACGCCTCTCAACACTTGGTCATTACTCCTTTCAACGGAAAGAAAGCCGTGCTCGGGTTTGGAGTCGTCCACAGCCAGCCTTTCCCAGCCAGGGTCTGATAACACGGATTCACCCCGGCTTATATACTTTCACATATTACTTTCTGTTGATGACAAGGAATACTGATTTTTCATGACCATGATATTAAAATCCCCTGTTTACATATATTTTTACATTTATAAAGTTTATGTACATAAAAATATGAAGTAATAAATAGTAGAATGTATTATTTCCTATATCCAGTAAGTGGATGTGCAAAGATTGTTCTGATGATACTGAAATTATAGAAATCGGAGACTGGTTACACCCTAAGACCCTTCTCCACAAGAGACTCTGATGTTGGGCTGCCTCAGAACACTAGAGAGCCATTAATCCAATCGTCCCCCCAAAATAACATCTGTGGCCAGTTCTTGAAGGAGAAATATGTGGCTAGAATGATAGTCAGGAAAACCGGGAGAGGCTTTCCTAAGGAGGTGATATTTGGTTAGAGACGCACAGGACAACTTGAGTGCATTAGGGGAAAGGGCTCCACTGAGCAGCACAGCATGTGCAAAGGCCCTGTGTCAGGAGGAGACGTGAAGCATCAGAGCCCCTGAACCAAGGTCGGAGTGTCTGGAGTACAGAGGTGAGGCCAGAGAGGGGGCCAGGGACAACGCTTAATACTCAGACAATGGTAGGAGGGAAATCTGTCCATCACTCCCATTCGGCAGAGAGTTGCTTATTCTTTGAGAGGGCCACCTAGCGCCTGACCCTTGATCTCAGGGTCTAGGGCATAACAACGAGTTTCTGGATTCTCAAAATAATAGCTAAGTTAGGTCCAAAACCAGGCAAGGTGTGGCAAACACCTTGACAACTGAGTGCAGGTTTGGAATTCATGCTGTTCTCACTCTGACTTCTTGGTAGGGCAACCTCAGGCAGTTACTCAAGCTCCCGGATCCCCAGGTTGCTCTCCATGGGGTGGGGATACCAGCAGGTGCACTCAGACTTGGTGAGAGTTACACTAGCTCTTGCAGGTAAATTGGGGCAGGGTCTCACGGTGGCGGTGCGAGGTGAACAACAGTAGCTCACTACGGTTGTTGTCAAAGGCTCCAACAGCCAAGGGTGTGTGCACCTGCCCCGCTGGGGTGTGAACTTAGGATCCTGGTGTGCAATATGTCTGTGGTGCGTATGCAGGTGTGTGCCCAAGTTTTAGCAGTGTGGGAGAGTGCGTGGACAAGGCTTGCGTGTGTGAGAGGGCACGTTGTGTTCAGCCATGTGAATAAGCAGGAGCATGCTTTGGGGTGTATGCATGTGTGTGTGTGTGTGTGTGTGTGTGTGTGTGTACAGAGTCCTTCTGTGTGTGGACATGCACAGAGTGAAAACCCACACCAGTTCAACCTGGAAGATCACGGTCGCGGAGTTAAACCCCGGCCTGTCTTCACGGCCCTTTTCCCAACCCCCACCACTCCTGTGGATCTGTGTGAATCTGCCTGGGGCCCTTGGGCCCATCTGGAGCTGGGCTGGGATTCTCTTAAAACAGACTTCTCTTTCATTCTTACACACACACTCACACACACACGTGTGCGCCCGACCCGACCTTGAGGTGCCAGCCCAGGAAGTCGAGGTATGTGGGTACTGCCTCGCTCTCCCGCTCCCCTAGGCCTACCTCTCACCCAGTTTCCATGGGAGCACCTCAGCTCAGGGAAACCTGCGTATCTGACTTCCCTGCCATGAGTCTAAAATAGCAAAACCACCCCAAATTTGGGTGAGCAACTTTCACTTCTCTGCTCCTCACCCTCCTTGCCCTGCACTGCCTGACAGCGCTCAGATGGGGAGGGGCCTTTAACCCCCATCCCCATCCCAGCCCTGTGTGGGGACAAGGGGCATATCCGAGCTCAGTCACAGGTCTAAATGCAACACCACTCCAAGTCTGGTCCAAGGCCCCAGAGCTAGGACTCCAGCTCCAATCTGGGCAATGGGACGGGGCAATGTCAAAGTTTACAAGTCTTACTCATCCACTTTACAGATGGAGCGACGGAGGCCCGGAATGAAGAGAGGGGCGTGGCCCAGAAATGGGTCTCTGCACCTCCCCACCACCCCACCCCTCCTGGGGCGGGGGCGGGGCAGGCAGTTACGCACAGAGCCCTGGCGAGGCACTGAGGGCTGTCTCAGCATAAAAGTCTCGGTCTGCGCTCTACACCCCCTCTAGGCTCCCTCCAAAAGAAGACACAGGGAGGTGGTCCAGGCTTTGGCAGGCGTTACCATGGTTACGGGCTACAAGCTGCAGCAGCGGGTCCTCTCTGGGCGCCAGGTCGGTCCTTCTGCGGGTCCGTCTGTCCCGTGCAGCCCTTTCCCCAGCCTAGCACTGGAGCGGGCTGGCCTGGAGCGCCGACCCCAGCTTCATCTCCGAGGGGAGGCTGGGGAGACAGAGAGAGAGACAGGGAGAGGAGGTGCCCGAGAGACGGGCGAAACCGAGACAGCGAAAGACAAGGCAGAGACGCAGCGGCGCGACTGGGAAACCAACTAGGGTCGGCCTCAGGGGCGGGACGGGGCGGGGCGGGGGCCACCCGAGGCCCCGCCTGTGTCTGAGCGCTGTTCCCCGCGTGGGCTGGGTGGCGCGACAGCGGCCTTGTGTGCGCCGGCGCCTCGTCCCCCGCCCCGACCGCCGCGCGCGTGATGAGAACCAGGCGCCCCCCTCCGGGCTCCAGGCCTCGCGGCTGCCAAGGGGAGCTGACGCCTGCTCTGCGGCCTTGTCCTCCCCTCCCCTCCCCTTCCCTCCTCTTCTCACCGCGCTCCCAGCTCCGCCTCGCAGAGCCGCCCGCCCCAACGGCCCCATTTGCAGAAGCCACTTTCCAGTGGACGGTTTGGGGCAGTCACGAACTGTCTTAAGCCTTAGTCTCCCCATCTGTAAAATGGGATTGATGGTGATACGGTGTTGATGATGGTGATGATGGTGGCAATGTCTGCCTCTTAGGTTGGGGGGGGGGCGAGGTGTGAGTGTCTTGTGTCTCCCACATAACCACCGCCTTTGCGACCCTGGCCCAACCATTGTTCCTCCGCATTGGAGGGAGACTAGAATCCACATGATCTCTGATTGGGTGACTTTGGGATCCATCCATTTATTTATATTAAACTTGGTGCCAAGCACTGAGCCAGAACAAGTCGGAGTCTCAGCCCTCAGATCTTGTACAATCTTTTGGGACAGATGGGCAAGAAAACTTACAGAAAGAAAAAAAAAATAACTAAATGTGGTAACTTTTAAGAAAACAGAAAAATGTCGACTTTGGAAACTAAGGAGATCAGCGTAGAGCTGGTGGTCTCACAAGGGCACAGAATCCTAGATCCGGAAGAGGGAAAGGAAAAGGGTAAAGGGTTGGGGAAGAGCATGTGGGGAGAAACAGGGTTCTAGGCAGAAGGCACAGCATGTGCAAAGGCCCTGAGGTAGCATGAAGCTTAAAGAAATTGGGAGAGAGCAAAGAACTGAAAAAGGAAGAGTGCAGCGGCAAGAGTCTAAATTCAAAACCCAGGGCTGATTCAAAGCCCGTCTTTCGCTGCACATTGGTTAATCAGCCTTTTGCCAGAGAGAGAACCTGAGCTAAGAGCCAGTCTGCCTGCTGCGTAACTTTTAACAAGTGCCTTCATAACCCTGGACCTCCATCTGCCTATTGTTAATTTGGGACTAATAATCCCAACAGTTTGCTCTGCCACACAGACCAGAAGATCCCGCCATTCTATGTACTAAGCAATCCCATAAAACTTCTCCAGCCTGCAGGTTTCAGTGTTTCTATTCCAGACATGAGTTTGGGAGAAAACAGACTTGCTGATTGATGTCAGGTGCAGAATCCCACTGAGAGTTGCGGGGGCGGTCGCTCAGAGGTTATGAAGCCGCAGCTTTGCGGTGAGACAGAACTGACATGACAACTAGTGTTCTGGGTCTGCAGGCGGCAGAGAGAAAGTCTGAGATGGTTAAGCAGGTGAACAATGGACTGGGCGGGTATCCGCTGCTCACAGAATCCACACGAAGGCTGGGGGCCTGTTCTCCGGAAAGCACAGGAGCAGTCAACATGCTCCAGGAGTCTTATCAGCAAGAATGAGTTGTAAACCCCTCAGAACTGACGGAATCACGTGTAGACAGACAGACACACCAAAGCAGAACTTTCTAGGTGTCAGTACATCTCCAAGTGTATAAATGACGAGTTAAATTCTACTATTGTCCTCGTTCACAGATGGAGAAACTGAGGCACACGGGAGTTACGCGGCTCGCCCTGCATCAGCTACGTGGTAAACTGTGGAGTCGGGAACTGGACAAGGCTGTCTGTTTCCAGAAATTAGGTTATCAACCCCTTCCTGTGCTACCTGAATGAATCTCAAGCCTTTTGTCACTCCTTGCTAGTTTCAAAGACTTTAAAAGAAAGATTCTAATTGGGTCATGTGCCCAAGGTCCCCTTGCGCTAAACATTTCAGTACTAGTTGGTCACCTGAAAGGAAATTAGATTGCATAAAAGGTTGGGAACGCTCTGGCTGGTGAGGCTCAGTTGGTTGGAGCATTGTCCCATGCACCGAAAGGTTATGGGTTCGATTCCTGGTCAGGGCACATACCTCCGTTGCAGGTTTGATCTCCTGGTAGGGGCATGTACCAGAAGCAACTGATCAATGTTTCTCTCTCATATCGTGTTTCTCTCTTCCCCCCACCCCCTGCTTCCTCTCTGTCTAAAATCAATAAATGTCCCTTTGGCTTTGGGCTGAGAGGAGGTGTAGATGCAACTTTCTTCTGTCGTCCGGAATCTGGGTTCATCCGACACCAGCCGCCTCCACCATGCCGCTGAAGTTCGACCCCAACGAGATCAAGTCCTGTACCTGAGGTGCATCCATGGGAAGTCAGTGCCTTGTCTGCCCTGGCCCCCAAGATCACCCCCCTGGGCCTGTCTCCAAAAAAGGTCAGTGATGACATCGCCCTAGCAACCAGTGACTGAAAGGGTCTGAGGATGACAGTGAAACTGATCATGCAGGACAGACAGGCCCAGACGGAGGCAGTGCCTTCAGCCTCTGCCCTGATCATCAAAGCCCTCAAACAAATGCCACGAGACAGAAAGGGGCAAAAAGACAGTAAACCCAGTGGAAACACCACTTCCGGTGTGATTATCAGCATTGCCCAACAGATGTGGCACCGATCTTTAGCTGGAGAACTCTCTGGACCATTAAAGAGATCCCAGGGACGGCCCAGTCTGTGGGCTGCAAATTCCACGCCTGCCCCCTCATGACATCACAGATGACATCAGCAGTGGGGCAGGGGCGTGCCTGGCTAGTTAGGAACGACGAAGGGAAATATTTCAATTAAAGATCATTTGACAACCAAAAAAATGGATGAATGAATGAATGAATGAACTGTATCCTTAGGTGAGAATTAAAAACAGAAGAAAGGTGGGAATGGACAGCTAGTGGTCATTACAGTCTAGGGGCATCTCGACATCCTTTGCACCTTTATTCCCATCCTGTTCTTCCAAAAGCATTCTCTGCTGACACAGTACAGCTCCACACGCACCCAAAGGTGTACACACACACACACTCACACACACACACACACACACACACACTCCTTTGTATGACTTGCTCCCATGCTGCGTGTGGAGGTTCACCTTTCAGAGCCTCAGGTTCATCCTGTGTAAGACGTGGAGCATAACATTTACTTCCTCGCAGGACTGCGGTGGGGGTGAAATAAGTTCATGAAGGTGAGGTGCTCTGCCCTGTGTCGGGCACACAGCTGCGTTACCATAACAACACATAAAATGGTGTTGCTTGTGTGAGCGGCCAAGGGTTGTGAAATCAGCCTCCAGATGCACAGGTTTAAGTGGTGGATTGGACGTCACTCAGGGACTTTCCAGAGGACTTTCCAAGGCTTGTTCAAGGGTTTATTTCCTCTCTCTTTGGTAAATGAATAACGGAATCCTGCTCCAGTGGCTACACCAGATTCGGGAAGGAGCAGACCCCCTCACCGGCCTTACGCATGGTGGAGTGGAGGCCTCAGGCAGGCGGCGTGGAGACGAGCTCTGCTGCCAGCCTGCTGCGTGGTTTTGCATAGATCCCTCCCCTCCCGGGGCCGCGGTTTCCTCAGCACGAAATAGATATCATAGTCCTCGTTAGACTTTTGTTGTGAAAATCCAATGAAATAATTCATTGAAAGGGCATATCAGACATCCTCAGCAAATGGCTCTGATGCTGATTCTGACACTCCGTCACTCTGATGTGCCCGGGGCCAGGTGCCGGGACATTGCACGGGGGAACAGCCTCACTGGGAGGAAGAGCATTGCCTAATTTAAACAGAATATCTCAGGATTCAGAATGCATTCACTCATTCAATAAATATTGATTTGTTCCTACTATGAGGGTAGCAAATACTTGGTGGATGTGTATGCTCAGCCCTCTCCCACTCACCGTAGACATCACGCATCAAATGTAGAATTGCCTGCTGAACCCCAAAGCGGCCTGGGAATCCTCTTCAACACAGAACCCAGGCAGCTCTGTCCCAGTGGCCGGAGGAGGTTCTGCGCCTGTTCCCGGACCGCGTGGAATGGGGGGAAGCTCCTCAATGGAACCAGAGGGAGGGAGGTGAAAACACGGCTTAAGTCAACACGTGCCTTTTTCATCACTGACGTCACAAACACGGGAAAGCAAAAGGCTGGGACAGACATGCTTTCACCTCTTAACGGCCTTCTCTTCTTGCAGGGGAAAATAGAACATGTAAATGAGCTTCCTGGTGCCAGATCTGGCGATGGGAGTGGAGGAGACCCGGGAGCACAGAGGTACCTCAAACGCTGTCCGCACCCCATCTCCTGGGCTGCCCAGATCTGGTGGCAGGCACAGACAGAGGGAAACAAGCCACGAGAGCAGAACCTCCTGGAGCCCCTGAGACTTAAAACTTGCCTTATCCAACTGTCCTAAGTTACAGCAGGGAGGTCCACCCGGAGAGAGTGGCTCACACGGTGTCCTACTGCCCAGCCAGGACAACGACCTGTCACACTTCGTCTGCTCCTAAAATTGCTTCATGGTAGAGGAGCCCAATATATAGGGGCCTTAGTTCAAGTCCCTGCCTGCCCAGCAACTCCTTGGAAGGTCAGGGGGTTTGTCTTTATTCTCTGAACTTCAGTCTTCTCCCCTGCACAATAAAATCACTTATCTCTGCTCTTCTCCCTCCCCTGCCTTCTGTGAGGCAATGGCCATGAGCATTTGTCATGTCTTGAAAGAGACAGGAGTCATGAGACGCATTTACTGATTGCCCACTCTATTCCAGGGACAGTGTCCTGGGTGCCGGGATGCATGGCGGACAGTCCCTGCCCTCGTATAGCTCAGAGTGTACCAAGGGATCAGATCCTTATAGCGAATGCATTGTGCACATGATGTACAGTTGTTCAAGGGGAAAAACACTTATTGAAGGAACCCAGTAGATCCTAAAGGTCTGAAAAGGCTGCTCTGAAGGCTTAAGCTGAGATCTGAAGAGAGGAAGAAGTTAGGGAAGAACATTATAGTCAGAGGGAACCGCACATGCAAAAGCCCTGTGGTGAGGGAGCAAGTTGGAGGCACAGAAGAGGCAGAGGGAGAGGGACGGGGCTGAGAAGAGGCGGGAGAGGTGGGCTGGCTCTGCAGATCCCAGAGAGCTTGGATTTTCTCCTTCCAGCCATGAAAAGCCATGGAGAAAATTAAGGAAGGAGCGATGTAATCACTAGAGGAATCAAAACATTCCCTGAGCTGCTAGGTGGAGGAGACCGTGCAAGGGGGGCTTCAAGGAGGCCTGCCAGCAAGGGAGCTGCGGTGGAAGGCTGGAGAAGGGTCTAGCTCCAAGGGCAATGGCAACCAAGGCCAAGGGTAGCTGGAGACCCCAAGACAGGGGCTGCCGAGGGCTGTCTGCCTCCCCCCAGCCCATCCCTTAGCACCTGCCTCTCTGAGGCCTTCAGCCCTGGGCTTCCTCTATCCCCCAGTCCAGCCCTTTCTTGTTATTGTGGGACAGGCTTCATCAATGGCTCATCTAGGACTAGGGTTTCTTGTCCCACTGTCTCTCTATCACCCACCCCCGCAACTGCTTCCTTCTACCTGGAGCGCCTCAGGGCCTGCAGACCTTGCCCCGCACCATCTGGGGCGGCAGCCAAGAGCCCTGGCAGCGTTGGGGGGAATGTTTAAGTAGGAAGAAGCTGGGACTCTGCCAGCCTCAGGCACCACCCACACTTTCCTGCCTCTGTGATTTTGCTCATCCCTCCCCCTGCCAGGAGACCCCCTCTCCGCAGGTCCCGTTCATCCTGCCAGGACCACCTTCTCTGGGAGGCCCTGCCTGCACACCTGGTTTTGTGTGTGTGTGTGTGGTTTTTTTAAAGATTTTATTTATTTATTTTTAGAGAGAGGGGAAGGGAGGGAGAAAAAGAAGGAGAGAAACATTGATCGGTTGTTTCTTGCACATGTCCTGACTGGGGGCCAGACCAGTGCAACCCAGACATGAGCCTTGACCAGGAATTGATGTGGCAACCTTTTGCATTGGCGGACAACGCCCAACCAACTGAGCCACGCCACTCAGGGCTGCAGCTGATCTTCTCACTCATTGCCTCAGGAGTTCGCCTTGTGGGGAAGGAGGTGGGGGAGAGCAGCGATGGAGCTGTGGGCACGAACGTGGCCGGGGCCTGAGGAGAAAGCTGGTAACAGACCCCAGAGGAGGGGTCAGAGGAGGTTTCCCGGAGGAGGGGACATCTGCTCCTGGGTTGTGAGGGTGGAATAGAAGCTCACTGAAGGGAGAAAGATGGCCAAGGACACAGTGTGTGATTGCAGGTCATCTCTGTCATGTGTGAAAGGGGCCTAGAGCACTGGTGCATGAATAAAGGAATGCTTGCAGGCAACACTGAGACACCCGAGTTTGCAAACTGGTAGTATATGGGTCACACACGGCGGGTTTGAAAATAAAACGGAATCAGTTGTTGATGTGTAGCAATAGAGAGGCTTCACGTACGCTTCTGGCACCAGGCAGCAGCCTCTCCCCTCATCCAGGCCCATGGTATGCAGCTCACCAGGGTCTGCACCCATTTTCAATTCCTGGGCCCAGCGGGCATTTGAGTTTGCACCTGTTCTAGGTGATTTGTTCAGGGCTCTGGACCAGGAGCTGCTCACCGGGCCAGGCACACAGCAGGCTCTCATGAAAGTTGGTTAACTGGGCGGATGAAGAGCGTGGTGATACTAAAACATGTCCACACATTCAGAGACTCGCCTTTAAAGAATCAAATGTGGAGGAAGTGACACCGTGTGACTTTTGAGACTGGGTCATAAAAGACATGTGGCTTCTGCCTTGCTGTCTCTTGGACCTCTTGCTGTGGAGGAAGCCAGCCTCTGTGTTGTTAGGACACACATGGAAATACCCATGTGGCCAGGAACCGAGGCTTCCCGCCAACTGCAGCCACATGGACAGCCTCCCTGGAAGTGGGCCCTGCAGCCCAGGCAAGTCTCTGGACGGCTGCGCCCAGAGAGACCCTGGCCTAGAATCGCCCGGCTAAGCTGCTCCCCAAACCCGATGCCCAGATACAGGGAAACGATTGTTGTTGTTTCAGATGCTGAGTTGGAGACAATTTGTTGTGCATCAATAGAAAACTAACAGGGATGGATGGATGGGTGGGTGGGTGGAGGGATGGATGAATGGATGGATGGATATAGGGTGTGTTAGGGACGGAGGGAGATTCTGTTGGGAAATGGAATGCGGATCAGATTCCAATTGAGTTTGTCACCCTGAAGAGCTGGTAGGAGTTTGTCATCTGAGAGTGCTGCGTTTGTCTCTAAGTTTCAGGCGGATCACTCAGGCAGCCAGGTAGGGGAGGATGGAGTTGATGAGCCCTAAGGCTGAGAGGTAAGTGAGAATCTGGGTCAGCCATCCTGGGAGACAGGGGGCCCTGCACCTTCAAATCCAGCTTCTTCCAGCAGCAGTACCCCCCAGGCTCCTGTGCCCCGTGCCCTGGCTCCATCAGCCATCCCGCAGCCCCGGCCAGACCTCTGAACTGTGGCAGAGGTCAAGACCTCAGCATTTCTCAGAGGCCAAGTCCTGCTCCTCTCTCAGAGTCTTCTTTGTGCAAAGGAAGCTGTTGCTTCCTCAGCTGGGGGTGGGGGGTGTGGCTCAGCATCAGCGGAATTCAGAAACCCGAGGCGGGCAGAAAGTGAGGAGCTGTGAAGACCCCGCTGGCCCCCAGACATGAGGGGGAGCCACAAACACCAGCCACCCACTGGGATGGATCAACCCTGGGCTGATCTACTGGGATTGTTGGAAATGACCCACGGCCTGCTTTGGGGAACCGTGTATGAGAAGTCTTCACGCAAATCCCACGGTACTGAAATGCCATTTCTCATCCATCGAATTGGCAAAGGTCCAAAAGCTTGGCGACATGTAGTGAGGCTCTGGGCAAATAGGCACTCTCGTGCATCTTCAGTGGGAATGTCCGTCAGTCACAGAAAAGCCTTGCAGGAAGGAACCTGGTGATCTCTACCAGAAAACAAATGCTGTGCCCTCTCGCCCAGGATTTTCACTTCTGGGGCTTAACCTAAGGATATAACTCCACAGTGAAAAACATATGTGTAAAGTCACCCATCAAGGCGTTATTTGTGCTAGCGAACTGTTGGAATGACCAAGTGTCCATCCGTAGGTAACTGGACGGATGAACTACACGACCACACAAGGGGAAGTTACGCAGCCGCGAGCGCAGGGATGAAGAGCTCCAGGAATCTGTGTGGAACGACCCACGGCATGTACGGTTAAGCAAAAAAGCAGAACAGAAGCTAAGTGGAAACGACTGCACATAGAATGCTGCCTTTTACATAAAAATTTTTTAACATTTATTTATTTACCCACATACTTATTTAATTATGCAAAAAAATCCAGGAAGTATAAATGACAAACTCATTGAAAATGAGCACTCATGAGGAGTTAGTAGGGATGTCATGGAGAAGAGATGAAAGGGAGATTTTTCTAAATATATTTTTATACAGTTTTGACCCTTTAAGCATTGTAAACATTTTACATTTTCAAAAATAAAATTAGCCCTGGCTGGTGTAGCTCAGTGGATTGAGCGCAGGCCTGTGAACAAAAGGATCACGGTTCGATTCCCAGTCAGGGCACATGCCTGGGTTGCAGGCCAGTTCCCAGCAGGGGTGCATGAGAGGCAACCATCCATACATTGATATTTCTCTCCCTCTCTCCTTCCCCTCCCTCTAAAGATAAATAAATTAAAATTTAAAAAAAATTAAATTAAATAAAGAGATGAAAACCTAAGCTCTAAACTTGAACACCAAGAGAAAAAAATGAGCTTCACTGTACGTCAAATTAATACTTACCGGAGACAGTAGGGACTCACATTTAGTGTATATAGGTGCAGACATAGATACGTAGGTAGGTTGCTAGATACATAGAAATATTTATAGATGTGTGTGTACAGAAGTTTCTATATGCACATATATTTCCTTGTCCCATCCGCGTGGAAGGCTCAGAAGCAATGACATGCCAGTAACAACAAGCGCACCTACCACACAAGTCTTGGTTTCTGACGCCCTCCTCCAGGAAAAGAGGCCTGGGCTCTTTGGAGAAGTGGCTGGTTCTAGGGCTGGAGCAGGCGATACACAAGGCGAGCCTGGGGAGCCTTAGAGCGCCAGAAAGAAAGGAGATGTTCAAACAAACGCACAAAGCCCCTGGTGGTGGAGAGGGAACACGGGAACCAACCCAGAGAGCTTCTGATAACCAAATCCGGAACAATTCGAGCAAGAAAATGCAGTGTTATACTGATATAGATAAAGAAGTGGGGGAGAACAGGCAAGCCTGCCATGTGGAAGGATTCCAAATAATTTATGTAGGGTCTTTGCCCTCAGGGAGACGGGGCGTCACTCCCCAGTCCTAAAGTGTGGTCACACATAGTGACGTCCTTCCAAAGAGCACTGAGTGAAAAGGGGGGTAGTGAGTAAGGCCGTGGTGGAGAACCTGATGAACACCACACCTGCCAGGTGGCCAAGATCAGCATCAACAGCGGTAGGTCCTGTTGCAGCATGTGTCCTTGATGTGTTGTGTGAG